TATCCCACCAAACGCTGCAGAAGAATTGCTTGCAAAAAAAAACCTTTTACGCAAACTCCTCTGGATACCCTCCCATTATGCAACCCGCTTCTTTGCATCAACTGAAACTATGACGGGAGCCCTGTGTTTTCCCCATTTCCTCCACTGGTCAGAAACCCATCAGTGATTTGGAAAGCGCAAGTCCCTTAATTGCCTCTAAAACCTGAACGCCTGACTTCCTCACAAGACAGGGAGTTCCCCCCAAAAAGCCACATCAGAGACGTTCGGCCCGCAAGCGCAGGAACGCCTCTCGGGCCCAGACAGGCATGGTGGCAAGCCCACCTCATCTTTTTCCAAGAATTCGCGGACGTCTGGGTCCTGCAGCATAGTCGGGTGATTGACGGTTCTCTGAAGATACCTGGAGAAGAGGAATACACAAGGATTCTGTTTTGCTCTGCCCTTTAAAAAAAATCTTGCTGACTTTGCTTCGTCTCTTTAAAACACAGCACTTTGGATGAAGATAGCATGTGTCGCAGGAAAACCAGTCAGAGCCCATGTTTAGGGGAAGTCTCCTATAACTAAAAGGGGGCGGAGAGATGTCTCTAATTTCTACACTCAAAACAGAAAGGCCTTTGCAAAAGTATGGAGAAGTCTTGCAGAAAAGCTGATCTGGGTAGCGGGGATATTTAGGCAAAGGCAGCTGTTTTGGTAAAAATGGACCGGGGAGCAAGTAGAAGGGCAGGGACTTGGGCGGTGAGTCTCCAGCTCATCCAAGAGTTACGCTCCTGCTTTAGAAGCAACGTCAATCATGGCTTGAACTCAGCTTTTCAAATGAAAAGGACTCTTTTTTGAGTTGACGGTCGCCACTGGAAGTGACGGCACTAGGAATGCAGAACCAGAACTGGAAGGACACCGCTTCCTCTATCGGTTCTCCCTTTTCAGGAGTTGGAAGGGGGAGGAGCATATATGAAAGCAGCATTCAGGATTCACACTTTGTTCGAACCACAGGGCTAGAAGAAACACTTCCTTCCTGAATGTATTCAAATCTGCTTTTAAATGCAAGAGATACTTTATTCATTAAGGGCGCGAGCGGGGGGGTGGGGGGGGGAGGTCGGAATTATTACACAATAGGGGCTGAAAAATGTTCTGGCAGGAATTATTCCAGATACGTGCAGCTGAAGCATGTGGCCCTGCAGCTCTGTAGCCTAGTAAATGCACTGTATGCGCAAAAACCCTGGGGTTCAACAATGCGTTTTTTAAAAAAGATACTGGCTTGTAGGGCTGGGGAAGCCCTCTAACGTAGAAAAGGGTCTCCACCAATGCTCCCTCTAAGCTGAGTTAGTGTGAGCTATCTCACAGTTTTTTAGCCTCCAGCTCACAGATTTTTTGTCTTAACTCAGGAAGGAGGGCTCCAAAGCAAGCTAATTCATGTAGCAGCCAAATGCCTCGCTCACAGCTTTAATGCCAGGAGCTCACAAAGTAGAATTTTTGCTCACAAGACTCCACAGCTTAGAGGGAGCATTGGTCTCCACCCTCTTTGAGTCGGTGGGCATCTCTGGAATTCGGACACAGCATGGTAACCACAGCCATGAATTGGCCGCTGCAGGAGTCGGAGCCAGACACAAAACATGGCTGCCGCAGCTTCCCTTCAGTCGCACAGTGAAGATCCTGGGGCTGTGGTGGGGGCTGCTGCCAAAGCAATTTTTTTTAAAAAAATCTGCACAGCCCATCGAATCTCCAGGGTCCGATTAGAAGCCACGATTGGCAAAAGCCCCGCTCACTTTCTAAAAACACTTGGTGGGCACCGGAAAAGGTGTCAGCGGGCGCCACGCCGCCCACGGGCACCATGTTGGGGACGCCTGGCTTCGAACAACAGCCAGTGACTGGAGGCTAGATGGACAGCCAGTCTGACTCTGTCTGAAGAAGCGAGCAGGGACTCATGAAAGTGCATCCCCTGCCACAAATTCTGTTAGCTCCTGGGCCCCTAGCCTTTTTTACTGCCACAGGCAGACTAACACGGCCACCCATCTCGATCTGACTCTACGTGAGACAAGTAACACATTTCCTTGCAGAAGGAAGCAGGCCAACAGAACAACTTGCGATTTTTCTACAAGGCCATCCCTGGCTGATACGCACCTTTCTAAAGCCGCTCGTCTTTTTTCTAAGAATTCTGTGGAGGAGGAGTCTTCTTTCCCAACTTTTACTTTGGTCATTCCTAAAGCGGAGGGGTGGAGGAAAGGAGAGGTGAGAAATCATGGACAGCCGCGTGCTCCCTGCACCTACAATCTGTTCCATCAGAATGGGATGATACCATAGGCAGAAGACGTAGTGCTGGTTTTTCTACCCCACTTTTCTCTACCTTAAGGCATTTCAAAGCTGCTTACGATCACCTTCCCTTCCTCTCTGCACGAGGAGGAGGAGGAGATTGGATTTATACCCCGCCCTTCACTTGGAGTCTCAGAGCGGCTTACAAGCGTCTTTCCCTTTCCCTCCCCACAACAGACACCCTGGGAGGTGGGTGGGGCTGAGAGAACTCTGACACAAACTGCTCTTTCAGGAACAGCTGTGCCAGAGCTTGTGACTGACCCAAGGTCACCCAGCAGGCTTCAGGTGGAGGAGTGGGGAATCAAACCCGGCTCTTCAGATGAGAGTCCACCGCTCTTAACCACTACACCATGCTGGCTCTCAAGCAGTGCCCTGTAATAGATTCAACGGCAAAGTTGCGTTCAGAACACTCTGCGTGGTTTTATATAACCCCCCATTGCAGAAAACATATTGCAAAGCTGCAAGAAACCCTCCAAAAGCATAGAAGATGGGCAACCAAAGTAATCTAGGTACGGAAGCATCTTCCCTACAAGGGAGAGTTAAAGAATTTGGGCAGGGATGGAGAGAAATGACCCTGAAGGTAAACATGATAGTTTTATAAACTTCTACGCATGGCATGGAAATGTTATCCCTCCCAATCATAGTATTAAGAGGGTCACAGTGCCCCTACTTTTGCAAAATTATTCAGTACAATAAAGATATACATCACAGGTACAAAGCAAGCAGGTGTATCCAATCCATAAGACCCCGGTGAAATTAAGAGTTTTCTCTCTGACATTTTGCTGCGGGTTCCATTCTCCGCGCAACCCTCAACCATAATGAGCCTAATCCAGAAGTGCCTCTGTTTTGTTGACAGGTTGTTAATTTCACCTATGTGTCGGCCGTGGGTCAGTGGAAGAGTATCTGCTTTGCGTGCAGAAGGTCCCAGGTTCCATCCCTGGCATCTCCAGTTAAGGTTTCAGATAGGATCTGATGTGAAAGATCTCTTTCCTCAGACCCTGGAGAGCTGCTGCCGGTCTGAGTAGACGGGACTGACCCTGACGGACCGACGGTCTGATTCATCACAAGGCAGCTTCGTGTGTATTTGTCAGCCAGTCGTGAATTTGGGGCCTGTTTTTTAATGCCAGTTCCTAGCAATGACCAAACTGGCTGTGGTAACCATACGTAAAGATACACTCCTTGAAGGTTTTTAGGCATGTCAACTACACAATTCAACAATAAGATCTCCAGCTTACAGGGAATCTGCCTCTCAGTCTGACTGCTGTCATTTCTACCACTTGTTTCCAGTAATCTGTTGCCTGTTTACATACCCACCACATGTGAAAAAGTCTACCTTCTCTAGCTCACCAAAACAGGACTTACGACTCTCAATTCCAGAGAGGTGACAGCCAGAAAGGGGTTAAGGTACCATTGATATATCATTTATATCAGATCTTCCCTATGAGAGAGGCAATCATAAAAGCAGTCCCATATGGAAATATATATATATCCAGCTTTTATCATCTAATGCACTCCCCCACCTGATCATCGCTTTCAGCAGTGGCGAAAGAAAATACTGATACAAACATATAATTGACCCACAGAACTCACTGCCGGAAGATGCAGTAATGGCAACGTGTCAGTTTGGTGTAGTGGTTAAGTGCGCGGACTCTAATCTGGGAGAACCGGGTTTGATTCTCCACTCCTCCACTTGCACCTGCTGATGTGACCTTGGGTCAGTCACAAGCTCTGGCACAGCTGTCCTTGAAAAAGAGCAGTTTGTGTCAGAGTTCTCTCAGCCCCACCCACCTCACAGGGTGTCTGTTGTGGGGAGGGGAAAGGAAGGGAAAGGAGTTTGTGAGCCGCTCTGAGACTCCAAGTGAAGGGCAGGGTATAAATCCAATCATTCTTCTTCTTCTTCTTAGATGCATCTAACAGGGAACTAAATGGATTCATGGATCGTCGGCTGTTAAAACAGTAACTCCATGTTCAGAGACAATGTACTTCCACTAGGAGTTCCAACTGCTGGTGGGGGGGAGGGGTGTT